GACCTGGGGAACTACACACCAGTCAGTCTCACCTCTGTGCCTGGCAAAATCTTGGAGCAGATTCTCCTGGAAGGCATGCTAAGGCACATGAAAAACAACAAGGTGCTTGGTGACAGCCAGCATGGCTTCACTAAGGGGAAATCCTGCCTGATCAATTTGGCAGCCTTCTATGATGGGGCTACAGAACTGATGGACAGGGGTAGAGCAGTTGATGTCATCTACCTGGACTTGTGCAAAGCGTTCGACACTGTCCCACACAACATCCTTGTCTCTAAATTGGAGAGACATCAATTTGATGGATGGACCACTCGGTGGATAAGGAACTGGCTGGATGGCTGCATGCAAACAGTTGTGGTCAATGGCTCAATGTCCAGATGGAGACCAGTAACGAGTGGTGTCTCTCAGGGATAGGTGTTGGGACCAGTCTTGTTTAACATCTTTGTCACTGACATGGACAGTGGGATTGAGTGCGCCCTCAGCAAGTTTGCCGATGACACCAAGCTCATGAGGCATGAGGTGGCTTCAGTGTGTGCTCGCAGCCCAGAAAGCCAACCGTATCCTGGGCTGCATCAAAAGAAGCGTGACCAGCAGGTCAAAGGAAGTGATCCTGCCCCTCTACTCTGCTCTTGTGAGACCTCACCTGGAGTACTGTGTGCAGTTCTGGTGTCCTCAACATAAAAAGGACATGGAACTGTTGAAACAAGTCCAGAGGAAGGCCACGAGGATGACCAGGGGACTGGAGCACCTCCTGTATGAAGACAGGCTGAGAAAGTTGGGGCTGTTCAACCTGGAGAAGAGAAGGCTGCGTGGAGACCTCATAGCAGCCTTCCAGTATCTGAAGGGGGCCTATAGGGATGCTGGGGAGGGACTCTTCATTAGAGACTGTAGTGACAGGACAAGGGGCAACGGGTTAAAACTTAAAAGGGGAAGTTTAGGTTGGATATAAGGAAGAAATTTTACTGTAAGGGTGGTGAGGCACTTGAATGGATTGCCCAGAGAAGCTGTGAATCCTCTATCCCTGACGGTGTCCAAGGCCAGGTTGTACAGAGCCTTGGGTGACATGGTTTAGCGGGAGGTGTCCCTGCCTATGGCAAGGGGTTTGGAACTAGATGATCTAAAGGTCCTTTCCAACCCTAACTATTCTATGATTCTACATTTCTAGGCACTTTTGAAAACACTAACTTATGCAACCAAAGATCGACCCTAAGCTGTAACTTAGGAAAATAAGTCTTCATAATTTATCACACATTCATAATTTGCCACTCACAAGTTATCCCTGTGGGCAGACTCCTCTTTCTCACCAACTGAAACTGGAAAAACACTTCTTTACCGGTCAACAGAAAGAGACCCAAGTCTTTTTGGAAACTGTGTTTGAATCTTAAGTGGCATCTCTATACTCCCGCTTGTCTGATCTTACCTTTTAAGTCCCTTCTTTGGAATTCCTTCTGGAATTTGGCCATGTTATGTGAGTCACGTCTATGTGAGGGTTTGTATTTCAGTTCTTTAAAACAAGTGTGAGCAATGAAGATGTGACTTTTGCATTTAGGGCTGCATATTCTTGGTCTTTCTCAAAGACACTAAAGATTCTGAACTGAAGGTGTTTAGATTGTATTAGTCTTTAGAGGAAAAAAATCCTATCATCACTGCTGCCTCTGCAAAACAACTGATATGGAAAAGGACCTAAATATTTACTGGTGTCTACAAGCTTATGATAACATAGCAAATGTAACCTAAGATGCATTAGTAGAAATACTCCTAGCAGACGCAAAGATCTCTAAGTGATGCAGTAACATCACCTCTCAGGGGCAGTTTAAGATTCTGATTATGTATGAAATATGAATTAACATGGGAAAGGTGCAAAGGGCACCATGATAACTATGGAAACTGAAAGCATAGTTTCTGAGGACAGTTAGGAAGAGCTCTATTTTGTTTAGGCTAACAAGCCAAATACTGAAACAGCATGCATGCTAATTGCCTATAAACACATCAAAGAGGTAAACAGTAAGGAAAATATTTAATCCAGAATCATTATTGGCACAAGCAGGCATGGTGTAAACTAGCAATTAATAAAATTAGCATAGAATTTGGGGGAAAAAAAATCTTAAATGTTACAGGAATGCCATTGCAGAATAGACTTGCATTTGTTGTAATAGGTCTACACCAGAATAACACAAGCTTGGGTTTTTTTCAGTATGGAGGTAAATTTACGAAGGCATTCAAGTAGCACAACATAATAGATAATAGATAACAGAGGACTGGTCCCTTGTTCCTTGGACACAACCATTGAAAGACAGCTACTTTCAGTAGTCTTTCGGGAGTCTTCTGAGGTATGCTGTCCCTGTGCATAGTTACACAGAGAATATTCATACACCAGCCACAAGAACCAGGAGAGCCTTTTATCTGTGCAGCAGAACAGCCACTTGGCCATTCATTTTATAAGCCAGCTCTTATTTTTTTCACTTCTTAGACGAGTAAGGGGATGGCAGAGTCAAACAATGGCACCTTTGCAGAGCAAAAGCATTATCATCTGTTTTCAGTATGTGATTCAACCTGAAGAAATCTAGAGTAAGATTTGATTACTCTGGTGCAGGTGTTGGCTGTTTAATTCTCTCTCACCCTGAATCATTTGGTCAGGAGGATGGCACCCTCAGTCCTGCAGACTACATTAACTAAAGACAAATCTCCATTGATTCTACTGGGGAAATTGACAGGTAGCTCAGGTGTAAGCACCACATTGTAGACACTTAAAGACAGGTGAACTGAAGTTATCTCCTGCCTGAGTTTTTAACAAAAATAACCACAAATTTCAAAGAGAAACAATGAATCAAACCAAACAAAATGTTCCTCTAATACTAAATCTTTCACTAAATTGAGAACATAAGATAAAAATTATGTTTATTTTTTCATTTGGAAGGATTTCCTGCTGAGAGATGACGTTATCCTGAGCCTCTGTTTTTCAGTTTGCTGTCCAAGTACAGAAATACCACTCAAGTAAGTGCACTCTGACACACTACTTAATGGTTAGTTTAACAGCAAATGCTTTCTAGCTACAGGCTCATTTAAGTTTTATGTCAAAGATTTAATGGATAATTTGCAAATTTTAGGAATCTGCAACATGGTAGCAAACTAGTTCCTTCTGGCATGGCCTGTAATTTTATAAGCATAAACTCTACAGATCAAAGGCAATTTTGAAATGCATTTTTAGCATGGTTCTAAACTACCAAGAGAAACTGCAGCTAGAATTACCATGTATTTTCAAGTTTTTGGTCTCAAAAGATGATTTTAATCATACATTAATCATGGTTTACATGGTGGCTGTTTGGCATGCAGCATCTGGATTTGTTCCATGCTAAGGACCTGCAGAAAAAACAGCATGATCATAATCTTCAATTTAATTTAGGTTTTATGCATTTATTTTCCTTTCTTTGAGTTGTATTCCCAGATGTACCGTGATTGAGACAGTAACTGTGATTGTATGGACAAGCAAATCTATATCAACTGACTTGTCTAGAGTGAGAAGAGAAATAATTTGCATGTGCCTGTAAAGACAGTAGTAATTTCTGTAAGAAATTAATTGTATTTTATACAGAAAAACTTTATTAGTTGCTCATGGCATATGGCCACAAAAAGGCAAATGAAAGATCTTAAGAATTAATTCTAAAATAATACCTTGAAGAAAAAGAAAACCAACCTTTAAATGATTCTGTTGCTAAAAATGTGGGGAGCTCTTGTAAAAGGAACAGAAGAATTTCAGTATGTATCAAGTATTATTCATATTCATTAGTCAACAGCAACTTAATAGTACTATTTTCCAAAAACATGCTTTATGCAAATATTATCCTGCAGTAGGAGATGCCCTCAGATACTAATTTTATAGTAGCACCTCTTTCCATTAAAAAAATAGAAGGGGGAGGAATCCACTGACTCCCAAGCATTTTCAGGCCATGAACCTGGAAGCCATTTTTTGTGCTCTCCCTGTGGCTGCTCATCACTTTCCCGCAAGCACCTCTATGGCCACACATTGCGTTGCACCACAGCACGCTTGTGTGGGCTCACAGGTGCCAAGAGCAGCAGGATCCTGCTACCATTGTGGTTGCTGCCCGCACCCACTCAGGGACTGGTGTCTCTGGAGCTTTTCAACAGCACAGCTATTCCACCTCACTTGCTTGCCCTCAACACAAGAGGGATGTGGACCTGCTTGAGCGAATCCAGAGAAGGGCTACAAAGAGCCATGGGGCTGGAGCACCTCTCCTGTGAAAACAGGCTGAGAGTTAGTTTGTTCAGCCTGAAGAAGGGAAAGCTTTGGGGACACCTTAAAGCAGCTTTCAATAGCTAAGGCCTACAAGAAATCTGTAGAGGGACTTTTTATAAAGGCATATAGTGACAGGACAAGGGGGAATTGCTTTAAACAGACAGAGGGGAGATTTAGATTAGGTATTAGGAAGAAGTTCTTCACTGTGAGGATGGTGAGACAGTAGGGCATGTTGAACCCAAGAACTGACCAGAGAAGCTGTGGCTGCCCCATCCCTGGCAGTGTTCAAGGCGAGGTTGGACGGGCCTCGAGCAACCTGGTCTAGTGGAAGGTGTCCTGCCCGTGGCAGAGGGGCTGGAACAAGATGAGCTTTAAAGCCCCTTCTAACACCAACCATTTTGTGATTCACTTTGGTCATCATGTGCAAGGGCTGGTGCTGGAGGAAACAGATCCTGGCCATAGCGTATCCTCAACACCCGGCCTACAGGCCATGTCAGACTGTACCAGAATTAGGCTAGCGCCAGGTTTTGCACAAAGGCGCTCGGACCAGGGTCCCTGCTCCTTTCGATCGACCGACCGACCGACCGACCTAGCACGGTGGGGCGGGTTGCCGGGGCAGCGGATTTCCGGGCGGGCGGTGTGCTGCAAGGGAAGCAGCAGACCGGGCAGGGGGAAGACTCGAAGAGGAGTGGGGCGGTGACAGGCGGTGCTCCTGGCGGGGGAGGAGAGGCCAGCCCGATCGCTCGCCCCTCCCGCCCGGCCAATGGGAGCGGCGGTTGTTAGCGGGCGGGGAGCCGGCGGCGTTGCTACAGCAGCGGCGGGACTAAGGCTGTTGGTCAGGGTGCAGCATGGAGGGGCTGGAAGGTGAGAGGCAGTGGTGAGGCGTTTCTTCACCGGGTACAGTCGGCGGGCGCCTGGGCCGAGCTTCTGTGCTGTGGCGGGGCGTGCTTAGGCGGTGGCGGCGGTGGGACCTAGGGCCCGGGCGCTGCCTTCCCCGTTCTCGGACCCCTCTGTGGCGGCCGGGGGGCCTTGCGTCGCTCCGCTGCCGGCGGTACGAGGGGCGACGGGGCTGAAGTTGGGAGTACTGCAGGAGCGGGGCCGCGTGCCTGTGAGGCGGCGAACAAAGGCGGGTGGTGGCGGTTCCCTATGCGGAGCGCGGCGGGCCGGGCGGCAGGCGCGGCTGTCAGGGCCGGCCTCGCTGCTCTTTGTCTCGGACGCTCTTCGGTTCTCCCAGCCGAGCTGCGGGGCTGTGGCCCTGCGCCGCCGGCCCCTTCGTGCCGCGGCCAAGCTCAGAGCGCGATGAGCCTGCTCGGTGATCCGCCGCTGGCGGAGGGTACGTTGCGCGGAGTATGGCAGCGGGTCAGGCGGGTATTCTTACCGAACATCCTATTTTTTGCAGCCAGATGGCTAACGTGGGTGTTAGGGTACGCTTATGATGCTAGGGAAATGTTCAGTGCAGTGAAGACTAGGTATGTATTTCCTGAGTTTATCCTTTGCAACTTTATCCCTGTGCCAGCTGCTTTAGTGAAGTCACCATCACTCCCCAGAGTAGCCATTATAGCATAGGTATCTATGATCAGATTGGAATTTATGAAGTTACAGCTTTCTGTCTGAGCATTTCGGTAGGCTTGTCATTACTGTGTTTTTGCAAGCTGCTTTAACCCTACTACTTAAGAAAAAACCACAGGCTTCTTCTGAGTAACTTTCCCAAAACAGTCATTAAGTCGATGCTGTGCTTCACTGGAGGTAACTGAGTGCTTAAATAGGGGTGAGCACAAGCTAGCCTTTGTTCTTTATCCCTTCCAGCACAGTTGGAGAAGTAAGCCTCCCTGAATTACTTTGTCTTCCTTCTTTGTCAGATTTTACAGTGTTCTTAGACATAGTGACTTTAAAGCTATACATTTGGACACGATTTGGCATTAAAATCCCAATAGGTTCTCTGATTTACTCATTATGCTTTGCTGACTATTAATGCATTTAAATTTGAAGGTGGTGTCCGGTGTTTATCTGATAGTGCTTTATCAGGCACTCTGATGACAGTCCTGTGACAAATCTATGTTGCCTGTCCAGAAGGAGAAAACTTGCTTTAATTTTGCATAAGCTGTGTCTTTGACTGCAGTTGGGACTGCGAATCATCTGCAGCCCATCCGTCAATTGATTTGACTGTGAGCTAACTTACCAAGGCCAGCTATGACAGCTGTTTTTGTATCAGCTCTAGCAGGTTCGTAATAGAGGGTGGGTGGAAACCTGAAACAATATGCCGGTTTTGCAGTAGAACTTGTCCAGCTTCTGATTTTGCTGGAAATAGTTTACATTTTGTGTGTGTTTTGGTAGGTACTGGGCGTGGTGGAAGGAAGAACTGCTAAAGCATGGGTGAAACCTCATGTTTACTCCGTGAACCTTTTCTTGAAAGTACTTTCAGAAGCTACAGTTTATCAAAACATTTTTTTTCAATGTTCCTTCTGAGCACTCAAGATTAATTTGAGAATAGCATGGGTAGTAAGCCATTTCTAGAACTTCAGATGGCATTGCATTGTGAACACTCATATCTTGCACTGTTATCCAGCATCCTTGAATGCTAAAGTTTTTGAAACTGAAGAACATAGTGGTTTTGTGGGTTGCTTTGTGCTGTGTTTTTCCTTCTCTGAACAAATCATCACAACATAAAATAGTTCCTTTTTTATGTCAAAACGTTTGAAGCAAGTGGCTTTGCTTTGATTTACAGTTTTTCAGTTTAAGCTGTCTCTTGATGCACATTAGGTTAGGCTCAAGATGAAGTTTCTGTAGAAAGGTGGCCATAAGACAGGAAAAACGTAAGCAAAACTAATAACAATAATAAATTACTTCATTGGGAATTATGCTTTTTTCCCAGGCATTGCTCCATTCAGAATAGTGTTACTGGTTGCCATTTTAGATTAAATTTGTGTTTAGAAGCACAGTTGCACAGTCATATCCACCTGACATGGAAGTATGGACTGCTCCTTCCCTGTATTAGTGCTCAGTAAAATCATTTCCCAGAACTAATCTGTACAGCAGGTCCTGGCAGTTGTGTGTGCAAGCGATGTGCTTATGGTGGAGGGCGGGACTTTGTCTTTTGGCAGTCTGTTTTTATGACTGCGTAAGACCCCCTCAGGCAGAGGATGCTTGGTCTGGACTTTCCTCCCTCGGAAGCCAATGCTTTGCTTTTCGGGAGCTCAGCACTAGAGATGCAAGATGTGTTTTACTTCTGTTTATTTGAGCATGCTATTAAATAATTTTATAATGATTCCTTCATACATGATGGAGAGTTCTAACTATATTCATGATTAGTTGGCTCATGGAGCTGCATTACTGACATTTAAAAAGCTAAATATTTTTGGTGTTGCTGTCACATTTTCTCACTACATGCAAGTTTAAATGTTCAGTGAAAAGGTGAAGTAGGTTTCTGTGAGACTTTTTTTCTAAAATTTACTTCTGTTGCTTTATTATTTTATTTGTATATCAGTATCGTTATAGTACTAGATTCATACTGAAAGTGAAATACATAAAGTTTTGTAAAAGAAGTCGGTGCACACTTGTGTCATTACAAGTGACAAATTTGATGTAAAATCTTAAGTCACTAGTTCAGTATTTGTTACTTTGCAGCCTGTGTGCTGTTTGGCTGATTTTCAGTTTTCATTTAATTTACTAGCGAAATACTCAGAGCAATAGACCATCAATGTCTGAAAATGTAGTGATTTGTAAAGTGAGTTTAAAAATCCTTTCCTGAGTAGTCCACCATGTGCTGACTCTCAGGTCTGTTTTTGTTGGGTTAGCATCTGCTGGTTGTGTTCAGTGGTAGATGGCAAGAAAAAGCTGTCATGTTTGCATGTCTGTTGCTCCCTTTTTTGCTTGAAGGAAATGGAGAAGGAGATCCAAGCAGAGAATTCCTGATTTCACATAAGCTGGAGCAGTCCGGTGATTGGCATTTGATTGGCTTCTCTCCAGTCTGTTGTTTTATCTGGGAAGATGCCGGCAACAGCTGCTTGATCCGACTAAATGATGGTTCCCACACTTGTTCCCAGCCCATCCCAGTGGGTCAAGACTCCTGCTGCCTAAAGCGTGAAGGGCAGAGGGGCAGCTGTGTCTGAGGGCAAAAGTCCAGCTCTCTGTGGTCAGTAATGGCAGCACTTATCCAGCCTCAGTGTTCTCCAGCCTGTGCTCTAGCAGCCAGAGAAGACTGGTTGTGGTTGGGAGGGGATGGGTGGCTACTTGCTCAGGAAATAGCCTGCAGTCTCAAACCCAGAACTTTCCCGTGCAGTTGCCAAATAGACTACTGTGATTAAGCATTTAGACTGTGAGCAGTCTCGGTGTGCCCTTGAGGTCTCGTAAGAATAAGGCTCGTGGTGTAGCATCTTCTGCTGAGATCTGTGCTGCAATAGCGGTTGTCCCTGGACCCTTCACTGGCACTGATAATGTCTAAGACACCCCACCCCAAACAGTGCAAGCGTTCTACTTTAGAGTTTTATATTAGTAATGCAGCTATTGAAAGCAAATGCTTATACTTGCTTTGACAGGATTTCTGAAGAAGCTAATGCCCAGTCCTATTTTTCCCTGATACTGTAGACATTTCTTTCTGTTTTGAAAAAAAAAGTAATATTAAGTCTTCCTTTCCCTTTTAGTATTCATCTTTCTCTTGCCTCACTGGATGCATGCAGCAGCTTCCTTGCTTTGGCAGCCATTTTCTTAAGCTCCATTTGAGAGAAGCTCCTGCCTTTTTGAAATACTTCAGCTTTTTCTTCTTTTTTTTTCTTTTAATTAATTTTGCTGTATTGTTCTTAAATCAAAAAATTGCAAACTACTAAGGATTGAAATGCAAAGCTAATATTAATGTATATCTTTTTAAGCAGTTGTTTTGCTTCCAGTAGCCGTTAAAACACTGATAAATGTGACTGCATTGAATTGATGTGTTTCACTAGGCATGTGTGCACCTCCCTTAAATGATTTGACATTTAATACACTGTATAATTGTGGTCAATGTATTTACTTCTTCTAAAGCAATAATGTTTTTATTTTTTGATTAATGGTTATGTTTTGGTGAAGCAACTGAAAGGAAATGTTTTACTTAAGGAAAATTCAGAAAGCTAAGTTTAGGCCATTATGATAGGGGAAGTGTGCTATCAGAATATGTTTTACCTTTAAAAGAACAAAGTAATATGTGTAGACAGTAGTTTGAGTGTTTTAGCTTAGTTTCTTCAGCATCTTAGAATGAGTAGATTTTACACCTTTTTCTACATTTTTCGTAGAATTCTTTTATTTTTAACTTAAATTGCAGAAACTAGATTCATCTAGTAATTGTATTCAGTTGGTTGAATATAGTAGGAAGATGAATGTATTTTACCTGCACACACACACATGATGTGGTTATTATAAAAAGCAGTTATTTAATTTCAGTAAAATCAAGTTCTGGGGCTATGTTAAACAGTTGACTGGAGGGAGCAAACTGGGAACTGATACAATATAAATGAAGATTATCAAAATTATCAGAATCATTTCTAAAACATTATTTTATTGTTAGCTGAGTAATATTCTGATAAGCAAGCAGGCTTAGGTTGGGATTGCTCTGTCCAATTACGTTTGTGTAGTAGAGTACAGAATTTGTTTGGGGGTCACTGGTGCAAAGCAGTTTTGGTTTAAGACTAATGTGAGAAAGCTCATCTTTGCTTGATTGCCTGCTTGTAGGTGGTGCTTGTAGCCTAATAGGGAAGAGTAGTGAGTTTATGATGCTAGAGCAGAATTGTATAACATAACCCTAGATTTTATAGGTCGCAAGCTTTCTAGTGGTTTTAGTTAATCTTAAAGCTCATTTATAGAAGACCAGATAATGTATCTGGAAGTCAGATCGA